TGGTGTAGAGTATGCTGAACTGCATTTAAATGGCTTGTGGTTGCCCTGAAAGTGGGGGTTGGCTCTCTCATCCCCTGCCATTGTGCTTGGGCTGCTGCTGAACCATACAACATGAGATGATTGAATCTGTTGCTATAGCTGTGACTGTGAGCTGTGAGTGCTGTATCCCATTAGATAGCATGTGCTTGGTCACACACACACACACACACACACATACCATACAGCTGCCTTTTTAAGGCAGTTTTCTGCCAACTGCCAAAGACAAGAAGATCTGGTGTAAGTTCCCAGATGGGTAACTGTGCCCATTGCTAGCATCTTCCCAGAGGTAGTGATGAGAGATGGCATTAGCTAATGGATAGGTAACCAGCTTAACAGTGCAGACCCTAGGTTTTCACAGTCTAGTTATCATGTGGTCCTGGGTATGTGATTCTTTCTTGCCTTAGTGTTTCTGTCTAAAGATTAATCTAGCAGTCCAGCCATCCTCTCCCTTTTGAGACCCTTGTCATGAATGCAGAAGTCATTTGGGATTCCCCGACTCTACCTTCCAGAAGGCCTGCTGACCAGCACACACTTTCCAGCCATCACTGTATGCACAGCACTCTGGCTGCTGCTATGTTGGGGAAACCTGAGCTTTTAGAGAAGGGCCACAGGGTTAAATGAGATAAACGTCACAATTTAACTCTCTCTCTTCAGTTCCTAGCTGAGAAGGTACAGTTCCCAGCGGGAAGGAGGTTCTGGGGGTGGGGGTGATCATTTCCGAGGCCTTTCTTGATGACCCCTTTGTTCTTTCTGAGACCTGAGATATTGCCCCTTGCTATTGCCTGGAAAATGACCTTCTCATGCTGGACCAAAAACTCAGGCTTCCACCCTGACCTATTTCCCTTTCTTCCTTGCTGGCATCAAAAAAGGAAGATGTCCCCCTGGGGAGCTCATTCTTTAGGCTGCAGTAGCCTGGGCACAGCCCTGGTTTTCCTCTCTTCCCACCCCTGCATTTTTGAAAAACAGAGATAAATAAAAGTATTACAAGCAAGTGTTGCTGTTAGAAGAAGATGAATCTGTGTATCTGGGAGTGTGGCCCCACCCTGATTACTGGTGTTTATTTAGGAAGGGTGTTACATCTGGGAAAGAAAACATAAAGGAGAAGTGGGTCTACTTCCTTCATTTTGGCTTCATGTTGTGCTGCATCCTTACAGAGTCTAGATCTGTGTCCTCTACACCCCCGGCTTTCCCCCCATAGTGCCCTCAAACACTGTGGAACATACTCTCAGTCCTCCGGTTCCAGTTCCACCTATCCCTGTGGAGGAAACACTTGTGGGGAGAAAGGGTAGCAAACTGGTCCAAAGTGATGAGGATAGTTCAATTTTCCCAGGGAAATTCTTGAGGGTAAAGAACACTTGGCCTGGGGCTGGGGATGTGGTTCAAGCGGTAGCGCACTCGCCTGGCATGCGTGCGGCCCGGGTTCGATCCTCAGCACCACATACAAACAGAGATGTTGTGTCCGCCGAAAACTAAAAAAAATAAATATTAAAATTCTCTCTCTCTCTCTCTCTCTCTCTCTCTCTCTCTCTCTCTCTTAAAAAGAAAAAAAAAAAAAGAACACTCGGCCTGGTGATGCCAGTGAAAACTGCTCTCCCATGCTCCCAGGTTGCCATGTCCCCGGAAGCCCTCATGAGCCACTGATAATTACCTGCTAGGAAAGCAAGCAGGCTGCCCAGCCATGTTTCATTTATTTGCACAAAGACACCTTATTCTAGCTTATCTCAGCCAGTACCTAGGAAAATAGGAATACATTACAGTCAGCTTTCTAAACAGCTCCTGCTCCCATGGGCCTTGGAGACCTATTTGGGGCTAAAGCTTTTCTCTACCTCCCCAACCACCTTTGACAGTTCAGCTCCTATCAGTGGTCTTCAAGTGGTTTGCTGTAAGTTCATGGCTATTTTCTTCTAAGGGGGCTCCATTTTAAAAAACCACTTGTCTTATCCTGGTGATACTTAATTGTTTTGTAGCATTTTGTATTTTAAAAGTGTTTTTTTAGGTAGGTACAAAGGTGCATACCTACAATCCCAGGATTGCAAATTCAAGGCTACCCTTATCAACTTAGCAAGTCCTTGTCTCAAAAAAATAAATACATAAAAGGGCCTATGATGTAGCTCAGTGGTAAGGTGCCTCTGAGTTCAATCTCGGGACCTAAATAAATAGTTTTATATACAGTATTTTCATCTCACGTAAACCTGTGAAAAAGAGATTAATCCCAGCCTTACATTTGAAGAAACTCCATTGCACTTGCTTCTCTCCATTGTTAGCTGTAGAACAAATATTAAAACTCAGATTTCTGCATTGCCAATCAAATGCTTTTTCTGCCCCAAATTTTGCCAATTCTGTTATTAGAAGGTAACCATTCTTAAGCCGGGCATAGTGACGCACACCTGTGATCTTAGCAGCTCAGGAGGCTGAGATAGGAGGATCAGGAGTTCAAAGCCAGCCTCAGCAATGATAAGGCACTAAGTAACTCAGTGAGACCTTGTCTCTAAATAAAATACAAAATAGGGCTGAGAATGTGGCTCAGTGGTCAAGTGCCCCCGAGTTCAATCCCTGATACCAAAAAAAAAAAAAAAAAAAATGTTAAAAAATTTTTTGGCCTATTTTTATCATTTTTCAGCTCTATAGAGTGAACTAGTAAAGGACTTTTCTGAAGGTCCAGCATTTACTGACATGGTTCCGTGAAACCTTCATTTCTGATTCTGGACACTTGTTGACTGCAGGGGATTCAAGGGACTTGGTAGGGCCCTGCCTCCCATAAGTATTTATTCTGCTTTTGTCACAATTCTTACATCTTTTGATTTCCTGATTTCTGCTTTATCTGTTGTTTGGCTTTTCTTCTTACATAGTGATTACTGTATTTCCACTTGATAATTTATCTCCGTATTCCTATTTCTAATCTCTCTTAGAAGACAAATCTTAGTATGTCTGTGCGTTTGTTTCAAAAGACATGCCTCCCTTTGCCCCTGGGATAAGCTCCCCGCCCTTGGTTTATACATACCCTTGATTATTTCTCTAGCCTCATGTCTCACCATTCACTTCATAATTTGCACCTTGTCAGAATGGGCCTATTAAACTCAGTTCCCACATATATAATATATAATAAGAAAAGAAATATTCAAGTATTTGTTAAATCAACTACTTGACTTCCTGTAATTCCAGAGATTGGGAAGCAGGCCTATTCTATTGTCCTTTTTGGCTCTTTAGGAAACCTCTCGAAGCTCAGCATTTGTGGAAAAGAGAGGAAGACTTTGGAGCACTGAGGCTGCACATGTGGCTGCTAATTCAGGAACTGCTCATGAAAAATGTCATAATCAAGACCTGACTCTGTACTTACTATGAGTCTCTGACCTCCCTGGGTCTCCCTATCTATCCAGCCAGGACACTTAAAGGAAATAGTGATGTTTTGAAATTGTTCAGTGGTCATATGAGAGCTATTAGTGTCCCTTTGCATTCCTAATATAGGCTCCTCATCGCTGCTTCCCTGGGATGTTTCCCATCCTCTGCTTGGTTGATTAGACTATTAGGTGAAGGGATTATTTTCACATTTAAGCCAACAAATTCCCTTTTGAAGATGGGCTTTAAGATGATGTGAATATCAAGCTGTTATCTGCCACTCATAATCCCTTCATTTCTGGACTCCTGGTTCTTACCAAGTACTTGTACAAGATCCAGAAGGAGAGCCCTTAAGTCCCATTCCAGCCTCAAATGAAAATGGCATCACAAGGAGAAGAGGTTAGGTAAAAATTCAGAATGAGGATTGCAGCCTGTTTTCTCTTCCCCTGGCTATAGGGTCTCTCCTGTCAGCTTGTAAACTCCTAAGGTAGCTTAGTCTCTAGTCACCAGTGGCGTTCCCCAAGCAAGCTCAGCAACGTGTGCTGGCTCCAGTGGGATTCCTCTCTGCAAAGCTGCTGGCTCAGCTAGGCTGTTTCCCTATTCTCCTGCTTAGAACTTTCATAGCCAGTCAAGCATAGAATTGCATCCATTCTTCTGAAATAGCTGCTGGGCCTAATTTGTCATTGGCTTGGCCAAGATCCTATTACCTGTAATTGTGTCATAGTGGTGTTGCTTTGATAGGCCCCACTTCCCTCTAGAGGCTAGTGTCCACATCCCAGGCTGCCTGTTGGGATTAGGAGTAGGGCAAGGCATGGGGTAGGACCATAAGAGATGTGGCCTCCTCAGGACACGTAGGAAGGTCGCAAAGATGTTATTCTGTCCCTGGGAAGAAAATTGCTTTCAGCAGAAGCATTACTTCCTTTCCCTCAGGAATTGGTCCCTTCTGTTGGAAACTCTTCTTTGAGAGACTTTTATGTTTTCACTGCCAGGTCAATTTGTTTTTCTTACTGTTGTTCCTATCAGAAAAATGAAGTCAAAATATATAGGGCGTGGACATGACAACTGCACTTTCTTCCCTTCAGTAGGAGCAGTGAAATCTTTGGCAGTGCCAAGACAGTCCTGGCACTTACTTTTCCTCTCCATCTTTAGTTCTGACCCAGATCAGTCCCAGTGTAAAGATGGAAAGGCTCAAACCTAATTTCCTCTTGCATCTTTTTACTAGAATGATCTACAGGACTTAATTGAACCTAATCTAAAGAGAGAATAGTGGGAAGTGATTGAATATACTTAGTGGTTCACTCTAAAATTATCATAACAAACACAAGGTCATGAAAATCCTTCAGAGTCTTGCTAAGCAGAACCCCTGCCATCATGGTATTTGGTCTACCACTCTAACATGAAGTGATGTTCTTGATGAGCCATTCCTATGGAAGACAGATATCGCCACGCACATTCAGCCTCCTGGTCCCCACCAGGAGGCTGTGTAAGGCTTATGACCCAGAACAAATGGAGAAATGTTGCCATGAGGAAAGGATCTCTGGACACCCCCCTACTCCACCCCCAGAGGTAAGGTTTGTGCTAGAAGAGCTGGTATTACATTTACCTTAATGTAGAAGTATTAGATGCTTTGAAATAGCACTTCCTGGTTTCTCTTAGCTCTTTAATCATCCTGGAAAATCACTGTTTCTGGAGCTTTGGTGAAGTTTCTCTTAAAAGGGGTTGGAGAGAGTAAATATTCTTAATATAATAATAAAGAGCTGAAGGGGAAAGTAGCTTAAAGTTTTTCAGGTGAAATATTTCATACCATATTATATAGTCTGTGCCCTTCCTTCTGAAAGCCTGGTTTGAAAAACAGATCTCTATTGCATTTAATGTCTTCTCACAAGCAGGTGTTTTCTTTATAAACTACAGATGACCTCATACATACATGCCCACTGCCTGTTTTCAGAAGAGCTTCACTCAGGACCCCAATACACAGGCCAGTACCCATGTAGACTTGAATGTGAGCTTTCATGCTGGTGTGTCTGGAGTCTCTTCAGGCCTTGCACCTCCCTGTTCTGTTTGCTCCAAACATTCCAAGCCACTCCCACTGCCTGAATTTCCCCCTTGGTATTATATAATTTAATTGATAGCTTTTTAGAACACAGCTCATAATACAATAGCAAGGCTGCCTGAGCCACCAGCAAAGAATAAGCAGATTGTAGACTGCTCTCCAGGTAGGACTAACATTCTGGTGCTCCACATGTGACTCCCCCAAGGACATAAGAGTGACTGTTCTGGTGGATGATCTGACCTTGATTCTGCCTTTTTCTTGCTGTTAACATGCCCACTCCTGTGTCTGTTGCCAAGGACTTGAGAACCTCTGCATTCCTAACCCAGCTTTATTGATGAACTTCCCACTTGCTGCTCCACCCGTGACAGTTTCTGGTCAGCTGAACGTAAATGGATTTTGAAAATGAAAGTGACCAATGGTCTGTTATGAAATGCTTTGATGCATGAAATAAGATTATGAGCAAGCCTGAGAATTAACAGCAGAGATACCCTAACCTGGCCCAAACAACATGTCAGATTGTCAGAAAGGACAGCTCATCTTCAGAACATTTAAGGGCATCTTTTCCTTCTTGGTCATTTAACAGAAACTCCTAATAATGTGATGAGTAAGTCCTGGATTCCATTCCAGCCTTACTTATGGACTTGTTCCTCAGCCTCTCTAAACCTAGGGCAGGAATAGTGTCCCTAGTGTTGGGCAGTGCATTAGTCCTGCAACACCTAATTGCTTCACCTATGTAAAGAGGGCACCTTCTCTAAAGGGGTGTTTGTGAAAGTAAAGAATAGATGTAAATGCTTACCGCGGTACCTGGTAGGTACGAAACACTCATGCATAGCAGGTTGCAGCATCATTTTTATTATTGACATAAGTTCTCTAATGATTCTTCTAAAATAGGATTCAAACTTCAACATTGACAAAACACTATATCCAGAGCAGGGTGGTAGGCTGGATATAGGTGTGTGTGCTGTGAACAGCATTTTATTAGAATCAACAAAGAATAAGGTGCGGTCCTCTCCATCACCCATCCTTGAACCTGCCTTTTTAAGCCTGTAATGACAAAGAGTATGCTCCCCCAGCTCTTCATCAAGTACTATTTCCACTTCAGACACTGCTGTAGGCCACAGCACTGCTTTTACTTGGGGCTCTGGGAATACTCAAAGCTATGACCAGTTGAATGGATATAGCACCTGCACAGAAATCCATTTGTTGTCCTTGGTCTAAGTTCCAAAAGTGTTTGTGTAAGTACCTGTAGGCATCAGCCAGTCTTTTCTCTATGAAGTAAGATAATACAGGGTCTCATTGCCTGCAATCCTTTGTGGTCCTACACATTGAAACCATTTCTTTCTGCACAGCATCACATTCATTGGAAGAGTAAAGGTCCAGAGGTAATATCCAAGAGTCCTAACCTTTAAGGAGTCTTTTCTAGACTTGACTGTGGACTGATAAGGCCAACCATCACCACAAGAGGGGGGAACCAGGAGTCCACAGTCACCTCTTATGGTATCTGTGTCTAAGAAATAGTGACTAGAGTGCCTTTACCATGGGGGCTCTCTGTGCATTTACACAGGACTTCTACCCTTACTTTTTCCCAGTGTTGCTACACCTTGAAAATGAGGGCTGCAGGATGTCTAGCCCAGACCTCCTTGTTCTCTTGATGGAGTTGCAGTGTTCTTTTTGTCCCATCCTTCCCTCCCACAGCCACAGTAGTCTAAAATTGCCATATGCTTACCCTTGATCTGCATTAAATTGGAAGAGTTGGAAGCTAGCAGTGCCAGCAGGAGCCCTAAAGAAAGATCTAGGTGTTAACCAGGACGGAAAGGGACAGGAAGAGAACCCCAAGTGGAATTGTTAGGAACAGTTGCTGCAGGAGGAAGAACTCTCCATTAAACCAGGAATGAAAGGTGGAGCTGGAAGCTGCTTTACTGTGTCCTGCTCTTCACAGGTTAGAGTGATGCCTTTTTCGTCTCCCTTTCTCTTCTCTTGAGGCAGTAGAGTTCCTTTTAGTGGTTACCAGAAAAGGAACTTGGCATTGGTTGTACAGCTAGAGATTGAAGGTCATGCAGCTACAACCAACAGGTTCCTCATTCCCTTCCAGAGAGCTCTACCTGCTACTTCACTTCACAGGTCTCTACAGAGCTTGCAGTGCCCGGGTGCTGTTACCTCCCCAGTTAAATAACTCTAAAACCACTGACCCAGGGATTTTATAGTAGTGCTGCAACCTTATATGAGGAAATGCAACAAATAGTCCATTACCACTGATTGGATATGGATTTTTTTGGCCTGGCCACCTGCCACTTGGTAATTTTAGAATAGGGTCACTTTTGGAATTGGAAGATTCCTTGTAGAAGGGGACTGGTATTTTCTAAATAGTTGTTTCTTATCCCTCCTCCCCCAGCCATGTGCCCCACTTCGTGAGTGAAGGGCCAGCGGCCTTCCTGGCAGAGAGAGCTAGAGCTCTCCATCAGCTTCCAGGGCTGCAGACGTGGTCGTTTCCAAATGCCCAGGGTGCACTTAAGTACTTCCTCCTTCTAATCTCAGCACTTCCACTCTCAACACATCAGCAGCTTTATAACTTACATTTTATTTTGCTCTGTGTTTTTGGCCCTTCAGGTATTTGTGGGAGGAAGGTGGCGATACTGGCTAACTGTGGTATCACTGATTCCAGAATTATACAGTTACACCCTGAGTCATGGTCTCTGGAGAATCCTCTAAGCAAGAGTGCCAGGAGCATCCTAAAGGGCTCTTGCTGTTTTCACATGCCAGTTTTTAAGGCTGGATTCTGTTTTGTATCTGATATGTGACTACTTGCCTTGGTTTCACCATCTGCAAAATGGGGATTCTTTCAAAGCCCTCTTCTGCCTTGAGAATGCTCAAAGGTGAATACTCAGATAAGGTGGGGAGGTCCTGAGGCCCCACATCATGCACTGAGGGTCTTGTGTGACCTTGAGGCACATATAGTTTTGTTTTTTTGTTTTTTGGGTTTTTTGTTTTGTTTTGTTTTTTTCTCTCACCAGGTTCTGAATACTTAGGCTCAATTGATGGAATCAGAGAACTATTGGTCTGGGGCCCTGAAACATGATCACTCTTTACCCCATTGGGCTCAACTTTGGCACTGTTCCCCGCCTCTTTGCCTTAATATCTGTGTACTGCCTTTTTCCTGACATGAGCAGAGTACTGGCTGAGTTCTGATAAGCATAATTTGTTCTGACTAGAAGACTGAGGTGTCCTCTCAGTCTTCCTGTAGCCAACTGGTTGGACCAAACCCTGAGTTGAAGATGATAATCAGTCATTAAACGTTGTGTCTTCCTGTTGTGGGTTATCCTAACACTGTACTATTTCCTGGTTGTCTTGCCTATATGAGACCATATTTGCATATGGTTTGTCTTCTTGTCTCACTCTAGTCAGTCTCCCTTTGGGCCTAGGATTGAGACCAGACCTCTAGTATTTTGACAAGGCCTCTGATCTTCATTCCTTTTCAGCCCGGGATCTTTCAAAAAACAGGACTGAAGCCATGAGCTTTTTTATTATCAAGTATGATGCAAGATAGTTTTGCCTTGTATTTTCTTGGCATGTGACTCAGGAGTAGGGTAAGGTGTCACTAGATATTGCCCTTGAAGCTTCTAATTCTTGGTTTTCCATCCAGAATTATAGTCAGTGATTGAGATATCACAGCCCAACAGCCCTAAAAGATGGCAACTTCAGAAACTCACAGAGCCCTGGAATTCCTAGCACATTGCAACATAGGCTCCTAGCCATGCATCAAGGACAGCCAGCCCTATGGCTTCCCATGCCCTGTAGCCCTGATGAAGTATCATGACCTGTGCAGTGCAAATGGAGGCATTGAGATGCTTTCCATGGCCTGCCCTTGCGGGTAGGGGGAAAGGCACTTCGTGACACATTCTCTCAAGGGCACCCAAGCGTGCCTGATACCCAGTGACCAGAAGGTGACCACCTCCAGGGAAATACAGCAGCCTCACACAGCCCAGACTTTCTTTCACCTGTCCTTCCTCTTTTTATTCTTTCTCCCACCCCCTTGTGTTTCTGTAATTTGTACAGTATCGTTCAGAGGTGTTGAAGAGATCAATAGCAATTCACCTTTTCCCTTATTGATTAAAGTGACGGCAAGGAAAAATGGCAGGCCATACCAATTCATTTATCATGAGCTATCCATTTCCTACCAAGCCACCAATGACCTCTCTTGCCTGTTAGGTTGCTGATCTGTAATTGGGATTGCTCCTATTTCCACACTACTTTAAAAGAAATGAGAGAACTACTGGGTTTGGCTCTTGTAATCAAAGTTGGAAGGAAAGGAGATGGTGAGTAATGAACAAAAAAATTGCTGTAGAGCCTGTTCTTTGGCTCTGTGGTTTATCTGAGGGGTTCACCAACTGTGCTGTGATGTAAAGAGGCAGAGTAGCACTAGTTCATTGACATTGCTCTGTCATCCAGCATCATCCCCTACCCCTTTATTATCTGTTTTTCCACAGTAAATTTAGTGTGGTGAATGAAAAGACCATGCATGACCCCTGTGAACTGGCTCCGTTTTTGCTGAACATGCAAAGATTTGTCATTCTTCTCTAGCTTTCCAGTAGTAACTGGTTCACCCTGGGGGAATGTGAGATGCCAGGGTTGGGCCTGGGTGGGGCTGGGGCCTGAAGAAAGTGTTCTTGTGCTGAGGGGCTCCTATCTTGGAGGAGGGGGGCATGAAGCATGGAAGACTGTTATTATCAGCTTCTCTCTCTACCCTAGAAACAAGCACAGAAGAATGTGAATATGTGCATGCTATTCATCCTTACTGGGAATCCCTTCTGACTCTCACTTGGGAAAGGTGATGAGGTATACATTTTGAATATGCCATTTCAGCTGCCACATACTAAATTGCTCATTTTTAAATTCTGCATTGTGAATGGTAAATACCTGGTGAGATGACCTGGGGTCTTTGAATCCCAGACTCTTAAAGGGGGAGTTAGCACTGACTGTGAAGCCAGAGCTTGAGTAACCCAGCTTTCCTTCTCTTTTATGCATCATAATCTGAATTTTGTGGCTTCTTCCACAGAAGCAACTATTGTCCACCATGCCCAGCATGGTCATTAAGCCCTCTCAGCCCTTCCATCAGTACTGAAGTTTGTTGCCTGGGTACAAAGCAAAACAATTCCCAGAGACTTTTGCCTGTGTAGAGTTGCAGCGGAGAAGTGGTATCTGAAGGCCCCTGGAAGATAACTCTTCTCAGCCACTTACCTGAGTGTGCCCGTAATGGTGATCAGTGGGAATGCTGGTTACCAGAGCTGGTTGTTGCCATCAGAGGAGCCGCAGTCTTTTGTGTCAGCCTGAGCACACAGGCCTCTCCAGAGGAGCGCTGCCATCTCTATCATGTTTTCTGAGGGCTCAGTGGGTTGAGGTCACTATTTTGGATGTCCTTCTCCCAGTAGGGAGATTTCACTAGAAACCCAGTGTTGCTTTGTCAGGTAGCTCTGCAGATGCTAGACTTGAAGAAGGCAGCCAGCTCTCTGTGAAGCTGGTTAATTACATGTGAAGCTGCCAGCAGGACAATTGTTCTTTTCCCATGGATCATTAATAAACCATTCTGTCCTGCATGGGTGAGGTGGGGGAAGTCTGACAATCCCATCATCTTCCTTAGCTTTGTTTGGGGCAGCTCTTTTTTTTTTTTTTTTTTTTTAGTTCTAAAGCTTTTAAAATGGTTGAGGATGATAAGAGGAAAGGAGAAGAATCTATTCCCATTTAATGCACGTGTTTTTTTCCCCCCCTAAGCTGGAAATTGGCCCCCTGCCTTCACATCATCTTGGCAGCCACAGTACAAAGGGTTCAAGGCTTGCCATGGGTGGGAAGTACTAGTGTGGCTCAGATCCTAATATTTGCAGCAAACTACAGACCAGGCCTGATTTGGAGACGAGGCAACTAGTGCAGCAGATGGCAAATAGTCCTGCTCCACTGGGGCTTGAGACTCGCACCATCTTCTTCTTCCTCCAGCCAAGGCAGCCTCTTTCCTGCTCTGCCTGAGTACAGAAAGCATTTCTGGTTTTTTAGAAATTCCTTTTTTAGGCAAAGATGAAAGAAGGCAAAGCAAATATAAATATAGGAAACTCAATCTAGTTATAAACATTTCCCTGTCAAACAAACTAAAACAGAGCTTTTCTTTTGTTGACTAGAAGAATTTAGAATAGGAATCTACTTTTCTCTATGGAGCATTGAGTGCAAAAATAAAAAACAGATTATAAATAGAAATAAGTATGACCCATTCAGTTTTCAAGGACTTGAACATGGGCTTTCATAATTCTGAGTTAGAGCATTTTATAGCTAGAGTGGCTCAAGAGGTTATATAGTCCAAGCCAAACATTTCCCAGTAGTTGAGATAACTGAGGCATGAAGAAGTTTATCACTTGGGCCCATTCACATAATAAATTCAAGGTAGAGCTAAAGTCTCCACATTCCCATTATGTGCCTCTTACCTCTACCCCCACAGCGCCTCCCAGACAGCAGCTGCCACCACCTAATCATCCACTCCAAGTTTAAGTAATATGTGAGAATGTGACTATGTCATCTACAGGGGTGTGGATGTATATGACTGAGGCAGATAGAGGAAGTAAACAAGTGAATGCTCTTCAAATTGGGTTATTTTAGTGAGAAAAGGACAGGAGGCTAAGTCCAAAGAAGTTACTGGGGCCTTGGCATTCTGTAGGGGACTGTCCAGACAGGGACACAAAGATAACTGCACACGGAATCAGAAGGCATGCCAGAGGGGGAGGAGTACAGGTGTCGACAGACCTGGAATTTTCCATCGCTTCTCCTGATTTGCAATTGTAGAAAGCTGCTGCCTATTCATGCCAAAACCTGAGCTTCAGATGAAACGAAAGGAAACAACCAAGGAGTACTAAACTGCTATCAGTTGAGGGCTTCTTCTTCTTCTTCTTCTTCTTCTTCTTCTTCTTCTTCTTCTTCTTCT